CCTGTAGCACTAGCTACTTGGGAGGCTGAGGCGGGAGAATCACCTCAGCCTCCCAAGTAGCTAGTGCTACAGGCATGCACCACTAGAAGAGGTTGCAGTGAGCCGAGATCGCGCCACTGCACTGCAGCCTAGGCAACAGAAAGAAAAAAGAATGCAAAAATTCCTGTTCACATTCACAATTTATGGTAACAGAGCATGGACTAAAATACAAGAACTCCTAACTTTTTCACCAGGACCCCTTTCTTCCTCTCAGGCTGCCCAGACACTCCCAAAGAGTTATATTCAAGCTTCTCCTCAACCTTTAATATTTTAATTTATACACTCTACAATTAACTGACTTTAAAATAGTTAGAAATAATGTACCTAAGTCAAAACAAATACAATATAGAGTTGAAAATTTTACTCTAAATCCTCCCTGACAATAACAGAAAATCTAAACTGAGCACTGGATAGTATTAATAACAACTTCTTTCATATACTCTTCCAAACTTCCAGAATACTTTGTGTTATGAACTCTAAGCACTTTCCGTAATTATTGTATTACTCTTAGAAATCCTTTACTAAGCCCACTTTACAAATCTGGACATGAAGGCTGAGACTAGTTAAGAAATTTTCCTATATTACAGAGCTAAGAATAACCAGAAACAAAATTCATAATCCAACCCTGTTGAATGCTCCTGAATCTCTTCTTGTGCTTACAGCTACCCTTCATCACATACATTTTTGTGCTAATCTTTTTGCTCTATACTAGACAAGGTTAACTTCTCATCTTTGTATATTCCAAATCCAGTGAATTTTAACTTTTATCTTTCCTTACTACTCAAGGTGAAATAGATTCCCAGCCCAAACTTTCCTCCAGTGGTGCCTTACTCAGGCCATCATCAATAATACAATGATCCCTCTATACATGTCTTCCCCTCTATGACTATTTAAGAATCCCTATCCAAATGGTCTGATTTAGAACAGAAACTACTGTTAGACAACTATTAGCACCTATATTAGTTCAGCAAAAAGAATTAAACCACTTTGGTTGCTTAATAAATGAAGACTAAAGTCCACATACCATGTGCATTAGAAACTGAAGGTCTTAACAACCTGATCAAACAATGAAAAATGAAGAATAAGCTAACAAGTGAGCAATTATAATTATTTAATCAATAAGTATTCACTGATCTGTGTGCTAGAAGTTATAAAAATTATAGAAGACTACATAGGCATAAAGTCTATCTCCAAGAATTATATATAAAGTGAGGGGGGAAAAAAAACTAAAGAAAATAAGCAAGTTAAAATAAGTGCTGAGGAATTAAAGGATATAAAGATTAAAGTTGATTAATAAAATGGCTTAAGTATCACTAAATCTCGAAAATCAACAAACCAGGTGAGTACAGCAGGGAAAGATAATGGTTAGTAACAACTCAAATCCATATAGACCTGAGATGGCTGTAGAGGCATAGTTTAATGGTTTTTTTTTTTTTCCTAATCCTTAGTTTGTCACTTATTCAGGACTATATATGTTGAATTTCGCTTAGCCAAGTTGCACACTCTTTATATAAAATTAACTGAATCACACTACATGAAAGACAACAGATCTAACTTAGTAACCTTGTTTATAACCTTCTTAAATTGTTCTCCCATAATACTACCAACTGATGAATAGCATTAGAATTATTTGTATAAAAAATTACCTATCATATATTTACACATTACAATGAAATTTCAATTTTCACAAAATATATTTTTAGAAACTGCAGTAAAACAATAGGCTTACTCCTCCATGAAGCCAATCACCAATCCAGAGTCTCATTAGCATTTAGGCATATTTGCAGTGAATGAGAATAAAAATATGTTTCGGTGTACTTTTTCTGTTGTGGTTATAATACCTGCCTTTATTGAAATTACCTTCCCTCACATTCTATATATAACTGGGACTAATTTCTGCTGGAGACTTTAATTGTCCTTGAATTCCCAAAGCACTCTCCTAATTCGGGCCCTCATCATATTTCACTGGTACTACTATAAAACAACTATCTGATTTCCTTTGTCTTTCCCTCACAATCCTCAATCCACCTTCGATACTGCCTCCACCTTTCCGCTGAAAACTTTCTAAGTCAAATACGATCTCGTGAGTACCCATTTAACAGTGCAATACTTTCTCAACCCTATCTCCTTAGTTGTGAAATGTACACTGAGATCTTAAGAGGCCGGAGAAATGCTATACTTAAAGTATTTGGTTTAACTTAATTTACCTTCAATTTGCAAAGTATAGAACAAAAATTGAAGAAAAATCTATTAGGATTCCCAGCGTGCTCAAGGATTATCCTATCAGACAATGTGGACTTCAGCAGTGGTTTTCAAACTGTGACATATGTTAGAATCTTCTATCAAGCTTGCTAAAGATAGACATGGCCAAGCTTCACCTCAGAACCAGTGATTCTGAATATTATCTAGGAATTGGGCCTAGATATATGCATTTCTCATAATCTCCACAATGATTCCAATGCATACCTAAATCTGAGTGCCCAAGAAGAAGCCCTCCTTGCTCCCTAACAAACTTCTCCTAATTTTTCAAGCTGTTTCATACCTCTCATCAACCTAGGGAGTACCTGTTAACATAAATATTCAGTTATCATTCATTCTAAAAAGCTTTTACTCATCCTCTCTCCCACCATTCTCTCCTTGAATCCTCTAAACCTTTATAAAAATAGTTTCCATATATTTACACACAGTCTTAATCCACACAACTACCCCATGAGATAGCATCCTTATTTTACAGATGAGAAAACCAAATCTAGGATAGGAAGCTTAAGAAACTTGTCCAAAATGACCCCCAGTTTGAACCCACGTTTGCTGATTACAAAGCCAAGGCATTTTCTATTTTAACAAGTAGTCTCTTACATATCACTCTGAAGCACTGACTTATTTTTCTGTTCACATGTTTCCTTTTTTAGACCTAGTAAGCTCCCTGAAGACAATTATCAGCCTTCCAGATTTTCGACCTCACTATTTAGTCAATAAATGTTTGTTGAATGAAAGAAGAAATGAAGCTCCTCCAAAGCTCTGACTATAACTACTTCTGTTTCAGTTCTTGAATTCTTAGATACAGCTTTGAGTATACTTCTGCCTAACACATTTGGTCTGACCTGTAAACTTTATTGCTGGATTAATTATGATTAATATACTTGTGTATAAATGTAATGTCCTTCCTGTCTAATGTGTCTGGTACGTAGACCACAGTAAAACTACGTCCTTTTTGATACAGAGGACATAGCTAATACAGTAAACCAGCAACCGAATTTTTTTTCATTGGAGGTAACCACCATTCAAAGTGCTGGAGATCTTCCTAAATTGAACATTCCCAAACATTAGTGGTGCTTTAAGAATCTAGCATTTTAATTATATCAGCTTTTGGTGAAAAAGGCAAAGTGGTTATTCCTTTAACACCACTTTTAGAAATAAATCAGTAACAAGAAAAAAAAAATACCCTTCTAAACCAACATGACGCAGTGGAAAGTACAACAGGAAGGGACTAGGCATGAGGAGTCCTGGTATTCTAGTTCTGGTTACATTATTTAATTGCTGTATGACTTGGGCTCACTGGCTCAGTTTTCTCATTTGTTGAAAAAAGTGTGTGTGGATGGGGAGGAGCTTGCTTATCTTTAAAGTTGTTACCCAAAATTCTCATTTAGAGCCACTATTCTTGTTTCATTCTTCCAATCAGTAAACTCAATGTTCCCTAAGGTCTAAATTCTGAAATACGAAACAAATCTGAAATTGAATGGAACGATTCAATCTCCTACCGGACAGCACAAGATACAAAGGGTGCACTCCTACGAAGTTAACAATTAATCCAAGAACTTTCCAGAAATTTTCTAATCCTAACTTCTTAAAGCAGCAGATGAAATCTGGTTTGGCATATACCTAACGCTACTTCAAAAAGTTATAAAATGGTATGGCTCTGTTGAAATTTCCGTGTTTTCTGGGCTCCAGTGGCACATACTCCGCAGGTGCTAGCAAGCAAAGTGGAAAGAGACCCAGCCAGTATTTCAACAAACCACACTTCAACCCAGTCGCCGCAGTGTGATCCCGAAAAGGCCTACACCACAAAGCAGAACCTCCCCACCCCCAGAAGTGCCAGCAGCCAATGTAATGAATGCTTCCGTCAACAACACACATTCCCCTTCCCACAGCAGAACTGCTCGCTCCCAACCGGCCATCTGGGGTTGGAATTGGCCGCACAGCACCAAACTAAGAATCATTCTCGGCCCCAAAAGCCAAGAACTCCCAGACATTGAGGTTTCCCTGCGCATGGCTGCGGGGAGAGCAGCACCCGCTCCCATCGATGGGGGAAAAAAAGCAGTGGGAAGGAGAGTAGAAACCAGGCCTAGGCCGGGTTGCTGGAGAAATAAATCTTGTTTCTCCTCAATGAGGAGCAGTAACATTTCTTGCCCTCTCTCTAGTCCGAAGAGAGCCCAAGATCTGCTACTCGACTTCATTCCCTCCTGGAACCCTAATGCGAGATTAAAAACCACCTTCCTTCCCCGATCTATCCACTCCTCAAACCTGGCATTGTTAAGGAAGGTACCCCCAGATCGAGCAGTGGGAGGTGAAGTCAGAGCTAGAACAAGGGCCCAGCTTTTGGGACCAAGCGGATCGTGCAAAAAAAAAAAAAAAAAAAAAAAATGCCCCTGTGTCCGGAGAGTAAAGTTTTAACCAGCAGCAAGGGCGCGGACCGAGGCTCGGCCAGGCTGGAGGACAGGCCTGAGGAGGTGACACTCCCTTGTTCTCCAGCAGCTCGGGAAGGCGGCGCCCGACCGCCCCGGCTCGCACCCAGGGAGCAGGGCTAGGGCGCCGACGCGGGGCCGAGGCCGGCGGGAGGCCTGGCCCACAGCGGGACCCTCCCCACTCCGCTCCCGCCTCCTTCCCCACTCCCACTTCCCGGCCCCCAAGCCCGGGCCCGTGAGGTAACGTCAGGGGTGGCGACGCGGGTCTTGGCCACTGACCACACATTTCTTGCCGAGAAAAGTGAAGAGGGACTCGTTCTCCTGCGGGGTGAGCAGCAAGGACCCCACGTTGGTGACCCTCCGCGGCGGTGGCGGCTGCTGCTGGACGGAGCTCATGGTTTCGCCGGCGGGGCTGGGAGTCCAGGGCCGTCTCCTCCGGCGAGTGGACGAGAGCTCGTTCCCCCTCGCAGTGACAGGGGCGGGGAGGAGCGGAGTCAGACGCGCCGCATCTCGCAGCTCCTCCGGCGCGGGGAAGAGGAGGAGGAGGTCGAGGGACGCAGGCGCTGACAGCGAGCCACCTTCGGGCCGCGCTGAGAGAAGGGAGCTCCCAGCTCCCGCCCGGTCAGGAGAGGGCCGGATGGTCGTTGTCCTCGCACTCCGGCGACTGCGCTAAACTCCCAACTCCTCCCCCAACCTTCCCGCAGCGGCGGCTGCGGCCGCACAATCCAACATGGCAGCAGGGGCGGGCGAGACCACAGGACGGAGGGCGCGGGGGAGCGCGCCGGAAACGCGCGGCCGGGGCCCGGGAGGAACCCCCCACTCGGCAGCGGGCCTCGCCGCGCCGGCCCGAGGCCACACCCACTTCCGGCCGAGGCCGGGACCGCGCGGAGCTAAATAGGATCCCGGTTGGCTCCGGGCGTGGGCTTCCGACTTCGTTCTCTGGCCTCTGGCGTCTCGGCTCGTCGGTTGGGTTCCCGGACTCAGCTACTACTGCTTGAAGAGAGAATGTGTGGAGATTTGCCGCCGCCGCTGTGCCGCCAGCCTTCCTTGGCCGGACGCACACCTTTACGAAGTGTCTGTGAGGACCCAGGGCCCCTCCTTGGAATAGCTCGTATTTCTCCAGCGCTCCCTTGCGATCAGAACACTGAAACCTGGGAAGATGCGCTCTGCCCTGTGCCGGCTTCCATAGGAGCCGCAGGTGCCTGGGATTTTCTCAAACTTTGTCCCAAACTTCAGCTGTGGGAGTGGAAGAACAAACAGGCCTCTCCCATCATTGTGAAAGAGATCTGTCTGATGGATGTAACAAATACAAATGCACTTGACTTCCACCGCCTGCCTGGCGTGTCACGTGGGTTCAATGTATGTGTCACATTTAAATTCAAAGTATGTTCTTCTAAGGGCTCTGGACAGTTTTTTCTCCCTATATCGTGAATTGGAAAATATCCTAGGATATTACAAGTTATCTAACATAACTCCCTTTGTTCTGTAAGTTAAATACTAAACGGTTGAAACGAAATTTTCTAATACAGAGATGATGCAGACTGCAGTGAGTTGTCAGATATGCCTCTCACTGTTCTCCACGTTAAACACATTAACACTTGTTGCATAAATTCATATCTGCTAATTGCTAAATTTCAATTAAAAAGTTATACGTTAAACTTAAGACATCTGTAACAATTACACTGTGGTAAAATTGTTGGATGTTAAACATCTCTGATAGCTCCCAATAGAAATGTCTAATGTACTTACCAGACTGATAAGCCATTATCAATGCTCTTTGAAAATACTATAAAATGTTAAAGCTGCCCTTAATGAAATTGGCTGAAGAATAAATTTACAAAGGGAAATGAGAGTGGATAGCCTTGGGAGTTCCCACATAAAAGATGGAGATTTCAAAGTTAAACTTGATTAAAAATATTAGGGTAAAAAGTGAATTAAAAAAGCAACAGGACTATTTATAAAGTCAGTAGGTTTGGAAGCTGTAGTAGAAATATAAGCCTGGCGTTGCCTCTGAATTACAGATCTAACAAACATAGAAGCTAAATCAGTTTGTCTTTTACCAAAAACGCAACTCCTGTAAGTCGAAAGCACAGTGACAACAGAAAGCATTACAAATTCTTGAGAAATAATAAAAATCACAGCTCTTCTTTTCAAACCTTTGAACAAGTATAGTACCAGAAGTATAAGATTGAAATAGGCCCAAGTTTTAGTTCTTGTTGTGAGTCTTACAACCTTACGGACTTTGGACAAGTTACTTCTCTGGGTCTCAGTTTTCTCATCTGTAAAATGAAAGTAATTTGTGTCATACAGGTACAGTCTAAATGGGGGTGATTACACCTACTTCAAAGTTGTGAAATACAAAATTACAACTAGATAGGAGGTATAAGTTCTAGTGTTTTGTAGCACTGTAGGATGACTGCAGTTAACAATACTGTATAGTTTCAAATAGCTAGAAGGATATTGAATGTTCCCAAAACAAAGACATTAAAAGTTTTTGAGGTGATGGATATGCTAATTACCCTGATCTAATCACTGTACGTTTTATGTGTTGCAACATTACTATGTACCCCCATAAATAGGTACGATTACGGTGTCTATTAAATTTTTTAAAAACTAAAATATTATGAGATATTTTTTAAAAGATATCACTTGTAAAGGACCTGATACATAGTGGTCACTCAAGTATTAGTTGTCTGCCACTATCAGTCCTTGCCTATGATCTGTTCTGATTTCCCTAAGCTAAGGAATCAAGACTTGATATATGTATTCTTACCTTTGTTCTAAGTCTGACTCTTGAAAAAATGTCCTTCAAATTTATAATTGTACATAATTTTTCAAAAATACAGTGGAGAAATTGATAGCAGAATTTCTGATTAGGCCATATATTATGCCAAATAGGCTACATATATCCCAGTGTGCCAAAATAAAACTTTTTAAAACTGTAAATCTAGAGAGAGAATTCTGTTAGCTTCTAATTAATAAAAACTGAAGAACAGCAAATTTTATGCTAGAAATACCAGCTTTTAGAACTTGTAGACCACCAAGCTCTTTTGAAGATAGGAAAGAGTAGTGGGAGAGGGCTGTGAAAAAAAAAAGCCATGAGATGATAGGTAAATGGACAGTAACCGCATTGAAGAATCTTATCTCATTCTGAGAATTATTTAATTCAAATCATTTCAAAAACCTCTTACTAGCCTAGACTGTTGTTTTATTGATTTTCTTTTCTTTAAGGAAATTTTATGACTTATCTAAATGTATTTTTTTTTTTTTTTTACTATTTGCCCTTGTTCTGTTTTATTTAGACTTGGAGATGGAAAATTATGACCACAGTGACTTTTTTCCTCAGGTCCAACCTTTAATTTTTCTCCAAATTTTTAATATAGTACTTTGTCCACAAAATTGCAATTAAGTTCTTGTCTTCTACCTTTCATTGTTATTTTTGTTTTTCACTGGGCTTTTTCTGACTCTTTGATGTTCTTAAAATGTGGAAAATGTAAGCATGAACATTTCTCTGGAAATATGACTTCCTTACTCATTTAAGCCTGTGAACAAGCAATATTTGGGGGGGATTCCCCCCTTATCATATATAAAGGATTCTATTTTTTTTCATGCTCATCCTGAGACCAAGCAGTACTCCCTGTTTTTGTTTCAAAAGTTTTAGAAAGTCCTTTCTTTCTTTCATTCTTGATAGCATATCCTCTATTTGGCAGAACACAAGACATCTTTTCTCTCTGTTTTCTTTGGCAAGTTAATTCCTTATCTCAAATTCTTCTCACTCAGTTTGAGAGATTGGATTTTATCCAGGACATAAGCATTCTGTTTCCCTTCAACAGAATATCTTGAAGTTTGTAAGCTCAGTTAAGAAGACTACAGATTTTATCTGTATACATACATACATATATGTATGTGTGTGTGTGTGTGTGTGTATATATATATATATATGTAATGCATATGCTAGAAATACCAGCTTTTAGAACTTGTAGACCACCAAACTATTTTGAAGACAGGAAAGAGGACTGGGAGAGGGCTGTGAAAAAAAGCTTTATTAAGGTATATATGAATATAACCCAAAAAAGGCAATTCTTACATTTAATTTCTTCCATTTGACTTTCTTTACTTCAACTACAATCTATGCTAGTACTTTATTTTCTTCTTTCTTTCTTTGGTAGGATCTTTTAAGGTAAAGCCCTCATTGTAACAGAAAACATTAGAGTAGCTTATTATGGAAATGAGGCCATATTTTCAGATACATTCCTGCTGTTATCCTTATGGGTACTTTGCAAGCTTTTCTTGTTCTGGTTCTTTGTTACCCATTTTTCCTTTTTACAGATGTCATTGTTTATGTACTGTTACAAGTCCTCTGAAACACCCTATTCCCCTTGCTAATGTTAATAATTTAAAATGTAGTGACATCCCTTACTGTGAGGAAATGTAAAGATGGCTGAATGCACACAAGGGCATTCAGCAGCCATTGTAGCCATAATTGCTGCTTGGCTATGGTAGGACTGATTTATAGAGACAGAACAACAGCAAATCTGAATATAGCAAATCTGGATTTGCAGAAAACGTGCAGGGGCAATGAGTGTTACTTCTCCCATGCAACCTCCACCAATGTCATGTGTTTAAAATGTTCATCTTGTAAAATATCTCTGCACAGTGTTATGTAAATGTTGCATATAGCAATGCTTACAAGAATTTGTTCTAGTACATGTTATCCCAAGGTAAATGTTAATTGTTTTCTTTTTCATCAACTAAAATCCGAAAAGTAAGCTAGCACACCATTTTTTTCTGCCTCTCTTTTTAAAATTCATTTTAACTACAAACCTCTTTGGGGCTTTTCTTTTTAGGAATAAATAGTTTATTTACAAATCTTTCTGATTTCTTATTGAAGTTGGTGGAAAATTGAACTCTTACTTATGCTACAGAATTACCAGTGATGGTTACTACCATTATATAGCCTAGTCTCCAGATGCCTAGTACTTACCTGTAATCAAGAAATGATTTGAAGAGCTAAGTATGTTATAGTTCCCTGCATGGTGCTTACTGGTTTTCTGGCTGCTGGTCTTTAATGTTAATGAACATTCAGTGGCTTATTATTCCAAATGAGAGAGGAAAAACATTGGTTTCTTTATTGTAATGTGCTTATGGTCAGTCTACGTTATAAATGAGTAGGCAAATTGGATACTTGGGATAATTCGAAGATGCCGCATGTCCCCATTACCCCATTGAAATTATTGGGGTCAAGAATATGGTCTCTGCTACCACATAATGTTTTTAAAATTAATTTTTATTTTTAAACAAATGATAAATGCACATAATTTAAAAAATCAAATTGTGTATAAAACTTTTAATAACATAAAACAGAAGTTACCTTCTTGTACCACTTTCCCTTTGTTGGATTTTCCCAGCTCAGTAGTTTTCTTAAATTTTATTTCTTTCATTTCTTCTATATTAACAACTATAAAGTCCTTTCTCATCTTATTGTCCACATGATCGAGAGTATCAGAAATCTATAAATTAGTATCAGGTGCACTAATTTTAATCAGAGATCTGTCTCCCAAAGTCATCCATCATCCCATATTAATCTGGACTGTTGCTACATGGTTATTGTCTGGAATTTTATTGAGTTACTATCTTGGGATTTCCCTTCATCTTTCCGTGTTAGACCCTCTGTTTCTTGGAACCTATGTCATTTGTCTTGATATACTCGCTTGTTTTGGTAGTGTACATTCGTTAGTGGCTTCCTAAGAAAAAGTGCATAAATAGTAAAATTTTGAGACCTTGCATATCTGATAGTTTTATTCTAGTGTCACCCTTGGTTGATTAATTTAACAGGGTAGAAAATTTCAGGTTGAATATTAGTTTTCTTCAGAATTTGAAGGTGTTATTTTATTGATTTTGAATTTTCAACATTGCTGTTGATATCCGATGTTATTCTGATTCTGATCTTTTGTATATGACTCTTTATGACCTCTAAAAGTTTTTAGAATCTTCTGTTTGTTCATGGAATTCTGAAAGTTGATGATGTACAATAGTGGAATACTTTTACATTTATTGTACTGGGTATTCCAAAGGCCTTTTATCCAAAAACTCTTGTCTTTTAGTGCTGGAAATTTTTCTTTTGTTATTTTCATATTTTTCCTCCCTTTAATATTTTTCTTTTTCTGGAATGCCTGTTAGTCAAATGTCAGATTTCCTGACTCATTCTATACAGTTAGAAACTACACCCAAGTTTAATTGTAGAACTACTCCAGTGAGCCCTTAACTGTTGTCATCTCTGGGCAGAGATACCATAAATTCACTGCGAACATTGGGAATTGGAAACTAGAATCTCTTCTGAGGTTCTAAAATTGGGATGTTTCTGCTGCCACCCTATATCACATGCTCCTTCACTTTATGTGTTTTCAAATCACAGTTGCCCATGGATGTGTCTGATTAGGGAAAGGTCACATACCTATACCCTACCTGCAAAAGAGCTGGAAATTTCAGGCTAAATGTTAAGGGTCTGAGATTCATAAGGTCAGGAATTCCATGAACACAGAAAAGGTATTCAAACGGTACTGAGCAGCTAGTGAATTCAAATAGAGACAGTTGGGACTTCAGGACGCTGGATGACTGGAGAGGGTCTTTTAAAAGAAAAAGCAGTAATATGAAAGATTAGTGCTTTCCAATATTATCAAGATGATAGCATTTTTGTGTATTGAATTACATGCATGTTGCATACATAATAAAATTATAAAACTCTGTATCTAGGAAGTAAGCAGTCTTTATTTTTGCCTCCATACAGTCTTTAATAAGAACTTTTTTTACCCCACATTAACTGGGTTATTTGTCCTTGGAAAGTTGGTAATGGTTGAATGGGTTAGTATATGTTTATACATTTAGATATCATTTATCTATAAACAGCTATTTGGCTGATTCATTAAAGAAAATTGAAGTATAAGTTGTTTTGATATAATGCATTATCAAATTTATTGTATATACAGTTAGTGATATACAGGCTTTTCATTTGTAAATTATAATTACTTTTTAGATGTTTGTCTCCTACATTAGCCTCAAGGCTCTCTAAGAGCTGGTATCATGTCTTATTCATCTTTATATCTTTTTAGTCTTAACATTGAACTTATACATTATTCAATGTACATTTGTAGATCAAACGACTACCTTTGATTCAAATGAAAATATATGAATTTTTTATCAGGTACAAAAGAAAGGTGTTATATTTTGGGGATTTGGGGGAATAATAGTTTTTAGCATGATGTGATTTCAAAAACAAGAAAAGGCTTGACATGAGCTTAGAAAGCAACTCTGGAAGCATATGTAAGCAAATTCAGTATCCATGAGCATTGGAAACCGAAGTGAAAAAAACAAGGACAAAAAGTAGGCTGGCATCCCAATGGACTGGGAGAGACTGGCCAGCAGTTCTAAAAGTGTGGTTCTCCCCTAGCAGCATTAGGATCATTTGGGAACATGTTAGAAATGCACATTTCAGGCCCCACTCTTGACCCACTGAACCCGAAACTCTGGGGATAGGACTCCTCAGTCTATGTTTTAACAAGCGCTCCTTGTGATTCCAATAAGCGGACCTTCAAGATGACATCCAGGGGATGAAATTTATCACCACCACCAGCCACCTTCCACCCTTTCCCAAGCATATAAGGCTTATAGCATTACACAAACTATTTTTGAATCATATTCCTTTTGGCAGATGGAACTTGTAATGAACCACAGGGATTTATTCTTGTCAGTTTAAGACTTAGATAGGGTAGAGTCTAGGTGGAATGACTTTATTCTTCACACCTGGAAAAACCACTGCAAGGGCAAGCAGGTATTTATTAGCTATAGCTTTTCTAATCTGAGTTTTGATAGTAACTAGCCATGTAATCTTAGTAAAGTCACTAAACCTCAGCATGCTTCTCTTTACCCATTTGTAAAATGAAAGGAATGACTTAATGATTGCATATAATTTTTCAGCTCAAAATTATATGATCAATCCCATGTTTTTTGGATTTAAAAAAATCCTGCATTTTAAAAAGCAATGGGTAAAAGGCAGTGTATAAGGGAATATAAACAGTTTTGGTGTTATGAAAATGAATATATATGCCTTATCATAAGCCTGACTCTGTTGAAAAAATACAATCCTCTAAACATAAAAATCCTACTTCTAATTACCTCAGAGCAGGAAGGAAGGTAATTGGTGATTGTGGTTTCATTAATCTATATTTTTTATTTATATTCAAAACTAGATAATACTTGATAGTTGTTATGTTAGTTATGATTTTCAATCCCCCATGCCTGGAAGTTAGTAGTACTCATTGTTTTTTTTTGTTTTGTTTTTTAATAGAGGAGGAAAAACATTGAATATGCAAACAACTCAATGGTCACATTAGAATAAGTTCCTCCTACCTAGTTTAGAAGTCATTCAGCTCAATATCTTTACTTAGAATCAGTTTAAAAATTAAATTACATATTTGCTTTCTCACATTCCATTTTTCCTCCTTTTAGGAAGATATGGTAGAATATCGCCACTTTTCTTTCACTTTGATCCTCTTCATAATGAAACTATTGTGTGTTTACGATATGTTCTGCTGGACTGGGGCTTTGAACTGATGAAAGAGGAAAGCAATAACAAGCATCAAGGCTGACTTGGTATGTTGACTCAGTTCCCACATAATGATGGCATCTATATGCATGCACATTATGATGTGACACACAGAAGAACAATGTGTTACCCTGTGTCAATTTCCTGTTTTAATGCAAGTCCATACAACATCCCAATCTTCCTCAGGCTCTCCAAGCACCCTTGACTTTATTGTGTCATAAGGGACAATTCACAGACTACATCCCCTCAGCCTGAACTTACCTAGAGAGACTTCTTTCACTCTCAGTTCCATTCAGAGATAGCAGCATTGTGATTGCTGGGTAACTTGATTGAAACAAGGCACGCAACTGTGCCTTATTGTCATAATCATCCAAAGAGGCCCACCAAGCCTTGTTCTTGCTGGAAAGGCACAAAAGGAATAGCAACATGCTCTTCATTTGGAAGGACATATTTTTATATGCTTCAGAACGACGGACGCCCAGAAACATCCCTGAGGTATCAAGCTCCTGTTTTTGATGGTATTTATGTCACCCAGCATTCATTTATGTGACCAAGGACCTAGTGTACTTGCAACTTCCTGCTCCACAGGTCATTTCAGTATGATGTTATTTTGTACAATGAACTAGTCTGATATTAGGTGGACTAGGAAGATGGCATAGGATAACTGACCTCTGCTTAAAAAAATGAGCTGACCTGTGAAGCTCACAATATCCTTTCCATAAATTCCCTTTTGCTTTAGCTAACCTGGGTCAGATTCTGTTATGTACAGAAACTCTAGGTGATTCTGAACTAGAAACCCTAGGTATTCTAAAATTTTACCATGAAGGTGGTTGCAGGCAACAGATCTTTCAGAAAACCGAGTCATTTGTTTACTTGGCTGTAATGAGGCAAGATGTGGTGAAACTCTCATTCATATTCCAAGATGGGAAACTAGCATCAGACAACAGAGAATCACATTATGCCCTCTGGTTATTAGGATCTGGAAACTTCTGAGGTTCTAGAAAGCTTTACGGCTGGGATGAGCAAATTATACTCCACCTGTCATGTTGCCTGTTTTTGTAAATAAATCTTTTTGGGGGACACAGCCATGCACACAGCAGAGTTGAGTACATGTTCCAGATACCTTCTGACCTGTAAAGCCTCAAATATTTATTATCTGGCCATTTACAGAAAAGGTTTGCCAACCCTTGCTTTAGGTAACTGCATAGTTTTTTGCCATCAAACAATATAAGCATGAGGAATTCAAGAATTGTGAGATAGCATTAGATAAATTAACCGTTAAGAATGAATTGTTGCCTCTGAGGATAGTCTGCTACAGGGATATTTTATGATAATTCTGAAAAAAATCTATCTCTGATCATTATAGGACCAAGGTTGCAAAAGTGAAACTCATAATTTGATCCAAGGTTGCTAAACTAATGATTTATGAATTAAAGTATCTTAAAAACTGTGTAATGAGATAAGAGATGACCATGAAAATAATTTATAACAAAGACATTCAGTCTACCTTTGTGTAAATTTCTTACAAGAATCATTAAACTTAGGATGTTACTTTAAAAAAAATAAAAGACAACTAATCGAGCATGCCAGTCTTTCCAGGGACAACAAATCACTGTCAGTAGATATTTTGGGGGAAAAAAAGGAAGCACACATTTACTATGTCCCTGAACTACTTTTCAAAAGAAACTTACATTCTCCAAAGCATATTTTGAAAACTGTTATTTGGAATCTTGTCCATCATTATATGACTTTAAAGTTCAAAATGCTAAAATATGTTATCTGTAAAAACTTATATTTCTAAACTTAAAAACAATCTTTTAACCTGTTTAAAAGTTTTCAAAGTAAAAATGTTTTGGTATTTTTTTGTTTGATGAAAATATGGAAATGAAGTACTTCTCAGTTTGCAGGAAAATTACTATCAAAATTTTAACAAAATTTTGACAGATGAATACAATTGAAAAACAGAATTATTATGCTTGAGTAAGGAAAACTCATGTGTACTTCTTCCAGGTAGATGTATCTTCATGTTTTTTTGTAAAGTGTCCTTTTCAGTTATGGCTACTAAAATATAGTAAAGACAAAACTCACCTTATAGCCAAACCTTTGGATCACATGTCAAAAAGCATTAAGCCAAATTTTCCAAAATTATGGAGCATACTCAATGACATTGCATGCATTAAAAACTATTTTCTTAATATTTTAGGGAAGGCAAATAATTGTCTTGTTTTGTTTTACTATTTATTGGCCTTTTTACAGAAACTTCTTTTGGCATCATCGATGTTCTTTATGGTTTTCTGTTTTCTATTTCTTTGATCTGTGATCATTAAATATGATGCTAGATGCCATTTATTAAATTGAGGAAGTTCTTTTCTGTCCCACCTTGCTGAATGTTTTTCCTCATAAATTTTGTCAAATGATTTTTCTGTTTCTATTAAATAAACTCATATTTTGTTTCCTACTTAGTCTGTTGATATAGTAAATTACACTGATTTTTATTTTTATTATACTTTAAGTTCTGGGATACATGTGCCTAATGTGCAGGTTTGTTACGTAGGTATGCATGTGCCATGGTGATTTGCTGCACCCATCAACCCATAATCTACATTAGGTATTTCTCCTAATGCTATCCCTCCCCTTGTCCTCCACCCCACAACAGGCCCTGGTGTGTGACGTTCCCCTCTCTGTGTCCATGTGTTCTCATTGTTCAACTCCCACTTATAAGTGAGAACATGTGGTGTTTGATTTTCTGTTCCTGGAATTACACTGATTTTTAAATGTTGAAACAGTGTTGTATTCCTGAGATCAACCCCAGTTAATCATAATATGTTATTCTTTTTTATATATTGCTTAATTCCATTTGTTGATAATCTGTCAAGGGTTTTTGTGCCTATAAAATATTGATCTAAGAAGATAGTTCTCCTCTATCAACTCTACCAGCTGAAGGACTCTTCTGATGCTGATTTCCTAGATTTCCATGTAATTTCAATTCCTCCATGCCCTGATTCTAAATAGTTTGTTATTTCCTGTTGAGCTTCCTTATAGTGGCCACTGTTAGGATCATCATCTCCCTCAATACTGGGATCTGCCTTCTGAACCAGAACTTTCTCATGGTACCCGAAATTGCACATGCTACCAGTTCCTGTTCA